CCCTCCAAAACCTTGTTCGTGAACGCGCTCCCACACCTCATATTGTATTTTATGTGCTCGACAGTTGGCTCGGCGCTTGGCTTATCTCCGCCGTTTTCCCCCACTGAAACAGTTTAACGGTGTTGTTGCTGTCTGTAGATCTGTCTCGTTGGCTCGCGATTATACCCTCTTGACGAGGCTTTGCAAAGTTGAGATAGGACTAAGAGTGAAAATATTTATTTTCTCCCTCGGAAGATAAAGTCACATTTTGAAATCTAGCTCTGGTACCGCCGTTCGTCTAAGCTTCGGGGCTTAGAGTACATAAAAAGGGCATTCTTCTTCTAAGCACACTGGTGTAAAGGCTTCGGTTCCAAACAGGAGTAACTAGTTAAAGTACCACCTTCCGTATCTTGTAAGAAAATAGAAAGAAAAAACTAGTTAAAGAACTTCCCTTTGTCTCGCGGCTTCATCAGACTGTTCTGCCATTGAGCGTTACAAACTGCTGTTACGGTTTATTCAGTAATTGAAAATATAATTGTTATAGCTGTTAGAATTATCTAGCGAACTGAGGACTCTCACCCTTATACAGGCAAAGATTACGGCGCGGAATGTTGGGGACTAATAAAGACTCAGGCTAATGCTAGAATTCAAAGGAAAGAAAGTTGGCATGATAACTACAGAAATACAGTACGTGTTTTATCTCGCTAACATTTATATTGAAAATAAAACAGTAATTTATACTTTTACTTTTATACTTTTATACTAATACACTTTATTTCGTGAGAAATGTCTCACGAATCAAGACATTCGTTTTGTTCGGATTTGTAAAAAAGTAACATTGTCGGTTTTTTAAACTTTGTTTTCCCTTTCTGTTCTTAAAAGCAAATTTCTTTTATCTCCACATCTCTGTATCTCTGTATTATGTATATGACATAGATATTTTGATATCTTACTAATACTTAGTATGTGACTGTGCATAAACGGATGAAAGCTACGTTTTTTAAGATAGACCGAAAGAAGAGAGAGAGAGAGAGAGAGAGAGAGAGAGAGAGAGAGAAAGAGAGAGAGAGGGAGAGGGAGAGAGATTGATCGATAGAGAGAGAGACGAGAGCGAGTGAGTGAGAGAGAGAGAGAGA